CTTTTTCATTTTTCTCCGTTTTTAAGCCACCAAAAGCGTTTCTGTATGGCTTTCCCTTGTTTGTGCGGACATGCCTAGCACGCCAATTGGCCAGGGATGGTTCATTGGGTTTGAAGAAGGGGGTTTGCTGCTTGACAGAGCGGAGGGTTGAGGGTTCCTCCCAGTTGCGTGTCTGGTTACGTTCCAGTTGTCGCCTTTGCCTAGCCTCCTTCACTGTCGGGTCCTCGGCTTGCCACCCTTCCTTTGTACCTAGACGGAGTGATAAGTAAAGTCGACTTATTTCAGGATTTTCCACGGGGAAGATCTGGTAGCTGCATTGTCAACAATCAGACCTGTTCTGAAAAAAAATTTTTACGGTGAGCAAAACTGGCAAAAAATGACAAAACCAGCAAGCAAGATCTTGGAAAAAGCAACCAGCCAAACTGCGGGCAGACCACTTCTTTTCTCTTCTAGAAAAGCTTGGACTTTAACTTCAGGCTTGGTTCTTCAGCTGGATTACTTGTCTGCTTTTGTTTGTTGTATTGCAGTGCCTTTTTTTGCTTTTGAAAACATTGTGAACTCTGCAGTTCTACAGCGCATCTTTTACGCACTGTTGTGACATGCTGTTATCTTTATCTCATGTTTGCTGGAATTCAAGTTGTGCTCAAAATTCTGTGATGCTTTTCTGCAGGCTCGACTAAAATGCTTGTTTGTTGTCTTAACAAGCAACAGAGTGAATCTAAGCAAGTAGTTGCTTCGCTGCCATGTACACCAGAGGACGCTCTTGGTCAAAGCATTTTTGGCTACTGAGATGGCACAAATTAAAGGTTTTCTTGCCATAGGCTTCTGTTGGTGTCCGAGAGCACTGTACGCTTGGACCAAGACGGTCTAGCAAAAGTGGAGTGCCAGTCTTTCGATCGAGATTGCCTTTATAGTTGTTGCCAACGTCCCATTGACAAATGCCAGAAATGTTTTTTTGATTTTCTCGAGGCTTGCTTGAACTTTCTTATTTTTCATTGTGACAGTTTTTCTTTTTGTGTCATCATGGATGTTTTTCTACACTGCATGCTTGCTTGCACGCGTGGATCGTTCGGCTGGCTGGCTTCAGCATGAAACCCAAAAAGCATACGCCTGTCACACAAGTGTATTTTCGTTTTGTTTTGCACCATGCATGAGGGCACATGAGTAAAATGTGCATCGCACATTACAATGACAAAGCTGTTGTGCCCAATCTGTTCTTCACAGACTTTGCTAATTTACAGAATGGACACATCATAACACATCCGTGAAAGTGGGACTGTGGTTTGAATTATTGAAAGGGCCGGGTGGCAGCTTTGTGACGTTTGGGTGAGCCACGTGGAACTTGGCGAAAAATCGCGGACATTCATCAACACGTATAAACACGGCAGATTTTTCTGCAGATGGACAAATCTGTTCGAATCGCAATGTTCTGGCTCGTTTGTTACACAGATTGAAGGAACCACGGACGCCTGATCAGCAAGTTCCGACATAATGGAGTCGGACAAGGCGTCTTGGGGGATAATGCTGTTGGGCCGTACGTCAGTCTGGGCCGGACGTCAGTCTTGTACCTCTTTGAAGTTTGTTCGGTCGTGGGGTTTCATAAGGAGCGCGTCAGGAACCAGCCATGTCGACCAAAAACCTTGACAGCAAATACCTTGATGTGCTCAAACTCCAGGAAGTCATTGGGAATTATTTTGTGTTTGGGTTGTACATTTACTAAAAAACCCTGGAAGGAGAAGCGAGGCAACTTCGCCAGTGACACGAAGCAGTTCCTTGAGCAGCACAACCGGTCGTTCGACGAAGTTCAGGCCAGGAGCGACAGACAGAAACCAAGTGGACTCCTGGTCAACGGGGCCCAAATTTTGAACCCCAGGACGCAGCTTTTAGCCCCAGCCCTAAACTCTCAACCTTCAGCCCTGCGTTTAGCCTGAAATCCTGGCAGTCTAAGGTTTGGAGTCGTTGTTCCAGGGTTTAGATGATTATCAGACTATTATCATGTTTGGGGTGCGTTGAGTGCCGGAAGCAGATCAGGTAGAGTTGGCTTGCAGGATTCTGCGTTTGAAGTCTGCGATCGGCCTTGAGAAGACGGAACTCTGCCGCCCCAATAAACCCGAAGCGGAAGCCCTTTGTCCGAAACCATAACCTTAGATTCGATCCGAGACCCTGAGCGCCGTTTGGAGGCCACAGCCATCAAGGGAACAATCCAAAAAGAGATTGCGAGCCTGGAGAGCGTAAATTCCTCGGAGGCGCGACGCGCTGCAGAGGTTCTTGGTGACAAGTGCTCCTTGACTTTTTTGAACCTATCCTGTTGGAAGATTGTGAGTGTAATCCTGACGAAGAAAAACCATGCGACCTCTTCAGTTAAGGTGAGGACAAGAATTTCGACAACTTGTACAGGAATGCCCTTCTCGAAGCAGGTGGCGTGCACCTGGCGGTGAAGCTGCTCAGCAGCAAAGAGCCACAGGAGATGGCCTCCCGCCTTCTCATGAGCCTCGTGAAGGCAGGTGACTGTGCCAAGCAGGCACTGCTCGAAGAGCCTTGCGCCATCCCTTCTCTGGTAGAAGTTCTCCAGAAAGGCACAAGCAATGCCAGGTCGTATTCTGCTGCCATCCTCCGAAATCTGTCCGACGGCTCAGAAGCTCGCAGTAAGATGGTGGCCCAGCAAGAAGGCGCCGTCAAGGGGCTCATCGGCCTCGTGACAGCCGTTATCAACGACGCTGTGTCTCAGCGCCGAGCGACCGAAGCGCTGGCAAATTTGGCAAGGTACAGCGGCATCCAAGCGGGGAGGGAGGCCCTCGGCAAGCTGGCACAGCTGCGTCTTTCTCGCGACGAGGATCTGGCGGAAGCAGCCACGGAGGCTTTGGAGAACTTGGGGCGCCACAGCGCTAACCAGGACGCCGTCGCCCAGGCCGGAGGGATTCAGGACATATTGATGTTCCGGGGTGAAGGCCCAGCATTTCAAGCTCCCGAACGATTTTGTTTTGTTCAACCCGTCTTCTCTGCATGTAGCGGGAGTGTCTCTTAAGAGGTTTGGGATCCCAGGTTTCCTAGCCACCGAAGCTGTAAGCTTGGCGAGCGAGCCTTTCCCAAGAGCCCACTTCGGGGGCCCTCTCGTGCCATTGGTTTTGTGAACTCGTGAAGCGCAACCGACGGTTCGTGCAAGCAAGGTGAAAACGGTTTATGCCAATGTCCAAAAACTGAAGAGCGACATGGTATCGGATGCCAAAGCTGCTGCAGAAGCACTTCTTAACGCTTGCGAGGACGAAGACGTCCTTGAACGCCTCGTGATCAAACTGGGTCGGCATGACTCCTGTCATGAAGCTGCTAGATGGCGCGGCGGAAGAGGACGCCGCAGGGCTTCTGATGCTCCTCGTGAATGTCGGCGACAGTGTTATTCGGACACTGGTCGAGCATCCCAGTGCCATCCCTTCCCTGGTCAGGATTCTCAGGAACGGCACCGCCCCAGCCCAGGCTGATGCCGCGGGTGTGTTTCGCAACGCCTCCCACTTGGAAGCTTGCAGCAAGCTCATGGCGGAGAAGGGCGCCATCGAAGGGCTCGTGGACTTGCTGAGATCACCGGGTCCGACCCGACAGCGCAGGGCGGCGGGCGCCCTCGCAAACTTGGCATCCCACAGTGAAGAGCTTCGGGCTGCCGTTGGGAAGGCAGGCGCCATTGGCCCCTTGGTGGAGCTGAAAGCGTCCGATCACGACGATGTGGCGGAAGCCGCTGCAGACGCCTTGGACAACTTGAGGTTGAACGATGCTAACAAAGAGGAGATCAAGGCCCAGAGCTCTTGCACACCGCAAAACCAGTCTACAGACCAACAGAGTCCAATAGAGGTTCGGCATCGGAGACCACATAATCTCGGTGCTATCTTCGCAGGCCAGCGAGAAGACAGCACCAGATGCAGAGCCAGAGGCGGACGTCACGGCTGTGATGCTTAAGAATGGATGTTCCCCTTTGAAGCGCCCCGGAGTTGGAGGGACTTGCAGGTTCGTGTAATGTTAGGGCATATAGGGTTCAAAACTACATATAATGACCCTTTGCCTGCACAGGCAGAGGAGCCCAAGAAGGTCGCAGACCAAGTGCAGGCAGGGTGGGTGTGGAGAGACCACTGCTTGATTGATCATTCCTGAGGTGCGGTGTGGTATTTAGGGTTCAGAGAACTTGTCAGGAGCCTGCAAAGGAGCAGCCGACCTCAGAAGCCTCTGCCAAGGAGGCAGGGGCTTTAAGGTCTGGGTCTTGGTGGTGGGTTTCGGGTCTAGGGTTTATGGTTAAGGTTGGGAGAGCTATTCAAAAACACAGAGGTCGGGCTTGGGGCCCTCAAGGGCATGCCCACAACACAAGGCCGATTCTTGTCCTCAACATGCGACGCCCTGCACCCCTGCGCCTCAGCAGAGTTTAGGAGCTGCATGTGCCCTCTGGTCCCTCCTCCAGGTGGGCTATCCAACCCCAGTGCCTTGCCAGAGTGTTGGCCTCCCTGACGGTGCCGGTGCGAGGCTGGGTCGAGGAACTGGGGCTCCAGGGTTCAAGTATTGTTGGGGGATGAGGCCGCACCACGCACAGGCACTGCACGGGCCCGCTTTAAGAATCCTAAGCCCTAGAACCTAAGTTCAAAGTGCGGGCGCCACCTGACTGGGTTGCACCTAAGCTAAGTCAAACCTACACAAAAACCCTAGAGACCGCCTGAGCGAGACTCCTGTTCAGGATTTAAGGTCTTAGCATTCAGCGGTTAGAGTTTGGTGTCAGGGTTGAGGGCTTCCTTAGTTTGGAGGTGTCAAAATCTGCTCAAAGGCCACTGCGAGTCAGTGCCACGGTTCTTTTACTATTCGTGTCACTAAACCCTATAGACCCTAAACCCTGACCCCTAGACCCATTAGCCTAAACTCGGAGGGCGGCGCATTTGCAGAACCTCATTTCACACCAACCCGAGACATGAAGCCGCCGTGGCCTCCGTAGCCCCTAATTTTAGGTCCGGGTTTCTACAAGTTAGGGCTCTGTGGGTTTAACCTTCGCCGACGGAAGCCCTCGCTGAGTCTCAATGCCAAGTCCGAAACCGTTAAATCTTAACGTAAAACCTTAATCCCAAGCGGCGAGAAGCCGCACGACCACAAACCAAGCTGCGCCCAGCACCAAGCTCGTATCCCGGCGATCGCAGCCGTGTCCAGGGTTTAAGCTGCCGGGTTTCGGGAGGACAGCCAGAGAGAAACCTTTCAGGGGGCTAGTGGCCAGGCTGGCGATGTTTTCCTTGCGCTTCGACAATGGGCCTATAGAGGCAAAGTTTCGCAGAGTGCACCAACTATTGACGCCTGGTGTGCACCAAATGACTACCAAAACCCCATCCTTTAGTGTCTGGATGCTTGAATCATTAATGAGGCTCCTGGTTGAGAATTCCGGGAGTGCCATGCGAAGGCTGTCTGGGGTGCAAAGGTGGACGAGTGCATTTATGTGAGAAGGGTTACTCTCTGATTAGCCGCAATGCCGTAGTAAACATTGAAACAGGCAGCAAGATGGCCAAGGAAGAACCATAATTTCAACGTGCTCATGGTTGACGCGGATGCTGGTGACAACTTTGGCACGATGACGATGGATTACTTGGACGAGCTTGTTGAGAACAAGGGTGTACAAAGCACTATGGCGAGAAGACAGCGTCTCCGTACAGCTCCTTTCATGAGCTGCGGTATGCCCAGGATTATCAGCTGGACGTTTTGCCGCTGAAGGTGGCAGATGTCTACCCACCACAGCCTCCAAGTGGCCCTGACCACAAGTACGTTCCTCGGCTCCCGACATGGTCGTAAATGTTACCCAGTTCGTGCGCTGCGAGGGTGCTTACGTCCCTCGCAAATCTTCGAAACCTGGACTGTAAGCTCCAAGCCCCTCAGACCCAACCCCCGTGTGAGGATCAGAAGGGAGAGGCCCGGAAGCTCCTCCGGATGGTATTGCGGCCCAATATCTCCTTCTTCGACTGCTGCAGCCCCCGGGTCTGAAAACGTCGGGTGCCTTGAGTAGCTCTACGAAACCGCTTAGTAGGCCTAGTACGAAGCAGAACCCGAACCTGAAAATGTATAGGCACAACAGCCTTAAACTCCTTGATCCCTAAATCCAACTCAGGCTTGAGTGAGCAGGAGATTGCGCTCAAGATTGCCAACAAACTCTTGGGAAGGGGCCACGGTGGATCGGGTCACGGCTGACTCCTTGCCCTGAGCCTAGACCCTAACCCCTGAACGGCCCCAAACCTTCAACCCTAGACCCTGGCCTGCACACCGAACAAGAAAGTTTGGCCTCGCTTCCATACCTTGCCTCACTGCAGGGCTTTTCCGCGGGTCGAGGTGTGCCCTCGGTCGATAAACCCGGAGAGTCCAAAGGACTGCGCTCGCGTGAAGAATCTTGCCGAAGGGTCCGGGGCTTGGAGTTTGCGACTTGGGATCAGGGTTTCGGGTTTGTGGTCACGGTCATAGGGTTCCGGGTTTCAGGGTTTTAGGCCCAGAACCCGGAGCAACCAAAAGCAACTAACACATGACTTCGGCTCGAGCTTGGAAAGCAAGACAGGCTCGTTATTCACTGAAAGTGCTTCTGTCAGCTATGAAGGTTCTGGAGTTAACTCTGCGGGCACTAAGGAGCCGCAGGGATTGGAGTTGGCATGCTGCACAGGAAACCATTCTACTACTGAATGGCAGTCGGGAAGTGTCAGATTCTGGCATATTGGTTGCATTGATCCGCAGTAACCGCTGCGAATCACAGCTGTTGACTCCTGCCATGCGAGATTGTCTGTGACGGAGAAGCGACAGCAGTTTTCGGTTCATGATAAGTTGGAAGCAAGAGCAATCGTTCACACCACGGGTATTGCAAGACATGTGCTCATGTTGCCTATGATCTGCGACTTGCATATGAAGGACTCGACACAGTAATTATACAAGTTGCGGTCCAGGCGGTGTTGCCGAAGCTTTGCCCAGTAGCATAGCAGCTTTGACAGTCTGTTGAGGCACCAGCCGCCATCACAGCTTTCACTTGTCTTTTTAATATATGGCTTTTCTGTAAGCGGGTGAGATGTCCGAATGGCGATGTTGGACGAGGTGCTCGCTACGAATCTCTGCAACTCAATCCTTTTCTTCGTTTCTTGCCTCTAGGTGGTGGCCGACGAGGAGAAGAGAAGACAAGCTCGATGGAATCTCAAACGGGCGCGCATTCAGTTTTGAAAACGGAGACGATGTCCACTTGCATCTCTGTGAGAGGCCATGCATGACAGAAGAATCGCAGATATCGAGAGGGCACTCATTGCGGGTGAGGAGTGTTCAGGGGCAAAGCAGCAAGCTTCATTTTCCATCACTTCAGCACAGATAGGTGTGCCGAATCCAGGCCTCCATGATGTCGGCAGGAATGCTGCTTGTACCCGATGGAGCTGGAGCACGCAAGACACACACTAGTGGAGGCCAAGAAGGCCGTTCAGGTTCGTGTTATGCTTTGGCGTGCCAGGTTGCATCTTGAAGACAGACAAATGCCCAGTCTCATGGATCAGTGAAGATGGCAAGCTTGAAGATGTAGTGGCACTCCTTTCAGGCAGATGCTAATCAGAAGCTCGATCGAGCTTTGTGAGCATCTCAGCATATTGCTACCTTCATGGAACGGAAACTGGCTGACCAACTTTTGGCTGCAGCTTTTGTTCCTGACCTGCTGATCCTCTCGTGGTCGTTGTGTCGCGGGAGTCACTTCAACTGTCAAGAGCTATCGTCGAAATATTCGGAAAACTCCCAAATTTGGCTTCAATGATTGAACTTCAGTGCAGTCCCGGCCCAAGCGAAACCTTGCACAGCACGTTCGAATCGTTGGACGTACCAGGGCGAGTGCTGATGTGGACGCCATTTGCGATGCCATCAATCAAGCTGCTTATGCTGATGTCAGTCAGAGCCCCATCTGTCGGAAGACGTCCTGGTGACCTGCGACTGTCTTGATGTTGCTTGGCAGATTCCGCCAGACTTCAGGCAGCCGCAAGAGTCTCAAGAAGCTTTCGTATTGGATAGCCAAGCAGATGCTAGTTTCATGCCAAGGAAGCATCTTTGGAGATGTTGAAGCGTCAGCAGGATGCCAGAATGCTTGTTTCCAAGGCGCTTTGTGTATTGTTTCAGGTACATGGTTTTCATGAGGCGAATGGGCTTGAAAAAAAATGATGTCCATCTTCGAGCGCAGGCGCAACGGTCAGGTGATATCCAGTTGCTGCAGCAGGCTCTTCTCATGTTTACTGTGCTTCTTGCTGGTTTCTGCGGTCCTCTTACCTGCGCTGGAAGGCCATCAAAGATGCCACAGCAATGGGTCTGCTGGACTCAGAGCAAGTGTCTTACTTCTAATTGCCAGTCAAGTTGCCGCGGCGCAGAGCTTCTCACTTCTGATGAAGTTTCCATGCTGGCAAGTGGACGGAATCGCTGAGGCTGACAGCAATCAAGTGTTGCTGGCCAGATTCCATGGTCTCTTGCATCCCTAGGTGTGTTAAAGCCGCAGCTTCGTGAAGCAAAACACCCGCTTCTACCGCCCCATTGGAGAGCAGCGTGGGGCAAGCTTTAGCCAGGCGGAAGGTCCAGAGACTGGAAATACAGGCAGCATGCTTTTCTTCAGACTGTTGCAGACTTCTCGAATAATTTTGGCAGGCAGATGAGTTGAGGAAGCTTGAGGCTGCGACACAAGGCTGTGTAGAAGTAGATTCAGATGCATTGTGTTGGTCGGGCTTTTCGTGCCAACCAGCTCCTTTGCAGGCAGGTCAATCATGGAGCTACGAGCATGTCTGCTCTCAGCTGCTGCAGCAGGCTGATAGCAGCATTGCAAGCGCCAGCTTACGTTCAGCAATTTAGGCCTTCGAAAGGCTCTTCCGGGCCTTTGGAATAATGGTGTGTTTTTCTGATAGCATAGGGTTCAGGGAACGCTTCGGCTGCGAAGCCTGATTCGTGGTTTTGATGAAGAGAATCACTCCCGCGAGGACTTCCAGACACTGATCTAGACAGAGGGCGAGTAGTTCTCCAGCAGGAGGAGAAGAAGGCCCGAATTCGAAGCATCGTCCGTGCATAAGACTTGGAAACTAGAGGCTGCTGCCCGAATCGTGCTCAAGGATGCACGCCTTGGCAAAAAGGTTCGGCCAGCTGTCGATCGAGTCAAGTTTGTGTGCTTCATGCTCTCTGTGGCTTGTCAGGCCTCTGCCAGGCACTGAGTTTGTCGGGGAACCGCTTCTCTGAAATTCTTGTCTGTGCGTGCGAGCTATTAAGGCTGAAGGCCGCGTCCAAGACCTGCGCGAGGCAATTCAAGGAGGCAAAGCTGCAGGCGGGGCCGCGACGGATTTTTTGGTGATTCGCCTTGCTTTTTTTTGGAGCGTAAGAACAGGCGGTAGGGATGCTTGGGGTGTGGGTCGTGAGGAAGAGACGATTCACAGTGGGTAGCCATGCTGTGGACCGCAACTTTGAAGCCTTGGGAAAGCTCAGACTCTCCAGGAATGACGGCTGAGGAGCTTCAGCCCTTCGAGACAGCCCTGGATCAGTTGCGACAGGAGGTGTTTGTTCTGCCTTTTCAATGTGTTGCGTGAACACAAATCCCAAGTTGTCAGGTTGCTGCCAGGCAGATCTTGAAAGAGGCGGTAGAGATTTCAACAATTGATGTCTTGATGCTCGATGCCAAGACATGCCGAGTGTTTGCTTGTTCCCTTTCGTGCCGTGTCCTTCCAAATCATTTGCGGCATTGTGTCGAGGCCAGCTATCGACGGAGCGAGAGCCGCCGGTACTTGCCCCAGCTTTTCGTTAAGTAGTTCGGACTGGTCCGACGAGACCTCAAACACCTGTGGGCAGTCAAGCACTCTAGAAGCATTCGGGTTTGCATTCGTGAACTCGAAGGCTGAGATCATTTGGCAGCCTTTGTGGATTGGAAGGGCTCTGTTTACCGTTCCACATGGCCTTGCACGAGCACATGGTATCAACACACGTGGTGCAGAAAAGGCATTGATGAGGAGGAGCATGCTGCTTAGCTTCCGATCCGAACTCCAGCAGCAAGCGATGTAGCTCATGGTGAAGTATGGCACCTGTTGAGTCTGGCATTGGCGAAGCTCTTGGTTGAAGATGCCTACAAGCCAGCGGCTGTGGCCTGAGATGCCTTGGGAGTGCCGGAAAGGGGGGCTAAGTGAGACTTCGATTGACGTTGACCCAAAGTGCGAGCAAGGCACGTGCAAAGCTGAAAGAGGCCGCGTGATCCTCGCTACCTTGCGGGAGACCACATGAGTATGTCTGGGTCTTCGGCATGATGTACCTCGGCTGCCCAGGTTCAGAAGAGAGATATACCCACGCTAATGGCGGCCATCGAGCATGCCAAGGCTTGCCTGCTAGCGGAACTATGAAAATAGGACCACTTGTCTAGAGGGAGCATCCACATCGCAGGTCGTGGGCCTGTCCGTGATGGCTGTTGCCGAGGTGTCTGCGCTTGTCATCTTAAAACTTGCATACAGTTTGCGCCGCAGCACCCTAGGCATCAGAGGTCTTGAAAGAGGAGGAGCTGAAAGTGCAACTTCGGAAGTGCAGCCCCTAGCTTTTCGGAAGGGTGGTGTCTCCTGACATCTCTGGAATCTGCGAGCACAGGCGGATCCTGCGGCTCGACCGAAGTCTGAACCAGCAGGAGCTCCGAGCAGCGATCAACATCTCCGAAGTTAATGGCCCGGTCCTCGTCCTCAAATGGCTGATAATGTCTCGGCCATACCCCTTCTCCCACTCTTGGATTCACTTGCTCCAGGCCTGACAAAAGCTGAACTGGCTCCTGCTCGCCTGGGCTCTAAGATGCCAATGAGTCGTGCTGAAACATGAAGCCCTTCTTCCGCTTTTTTTCGTCTCCGGCCCAGGCCAGCAGCTGGCTGAGCTCGAGCAGCAAGCCGCTGCCGCGACGAGCCCACCTCCCGGCATCTGACAGAGCCTGGCCTGGTGAAGTTCCGGAGTGCACCGAAGGACTCTCCACAGCCATCGAGGCAGGAGAGATCGTCGAATTGCAGGCAGTTCGCACAGAGAGGTTTCTGCGACAACTTGCATTGCAACGAGACTTGCAGAGTAAGGCTGCTATCAGAGATGCGCGTGCCCTCATTCAGAAAGTACTCACACCATGTCGAAAGCCAAGTTGCTGCCTGCCACAGCCTGTTCCTGGTGGAACAGAGAACCGAGGTGTGGCCGAGGAGCTCATCCAAGATGCAGAGAAGGCCGGAGCCCAAGGTCCGAGACTTTTGTGGTGACCTCTTTCGTTGGCCATAGCCCAGGCCTTGAGAAAGGAGATTGAGCAGGCAGCACGAGACATGCTCCATGACTCAGTCGGAACCTGAACTTCTGCAGATCCCACAGGCGAAAGCTGCTTTCTTTTTTTCCGCCCGGCTGAGATCAAGCGGTGCAGCGGAGCGGCAGCAGTTTCCCGAAGCAAAGATCTCCCTGAAGAAGGTGGCGAGCAGCTGAATGCCAAATCAGCTTTGCAGCAGCGACGCAGGACGTATGGGGAGCGTCGTACTTGGTCACTTGGTGCTTGCTCTGGCATGTTCTAGTCAGTGCTTGCATCTGGGAGGAGCCAGGCGAACTTCGAAGCCGCGTTGCAGGCAGATGGCTCCAGTCTTAGAGCCTCAGTGCTGCGACGTTTCTGCGGTGGAGGCCATCGGCGTGGATGTGGGATCCAGACCCGGGTCCCGAGACGCGCCTCCCGCGGCCGGGCGGCGAGCCTCAGGTCCGCGGTCCCTGGGGGGCCCCGGTTCCACCATGTTCCACCTTTGGGGGACCTCTTTTCTTGGTTGCAGGTCTTGGCAAGAGACGGATGTCGGCCATGTACGGCGGTCCAGCAATGGGTTCCTGGGCAACAAGACATTGCGTCGGTACTTTGCCAAGAGAGACTGCTCAATTTCAGGAGCAGCATCTGGAGCTGGCGACGCATACTTCGAAAGGCGGGGAAAGTGCCTCGCCCCCGACTCCATAGATTTCATGAAACATGCTACGTAGGATGGAGACGATCAAGACGGCTATCAGGGGTGCAGAGGCACAGAGCACATGACATGGGCCTTGACAACAGTCAAGTGCACAAGCCTGCCGCTGTGTCAGGTGCTTCAAGCATTGCCTGCGATAGTGTTTGCTGAATCTTGCCTGGTCGCAGGCTCTGCAACTTGACGAGACGGACATCCTTCCAGCAAGAGAGGTTCAGATAGCTGTTTCTCTCTTCATGCTTTGCTTGGGGTGATGTGGGGTGATCTCCGCCACCAGCCATCGTGCGCCAAGCCTGCAGAGCGTTATACAACAACACATTGAGCGGAAAAAGCGCTTCCACAAGACTACCCACAACTCCCGAGGCTGCCCTGTGTCATCGTGGCATGGGCAAGTGGGTTTGCTGTTTTTATTGAGCCATTTGCAGTAGGAGGCATTTTGCTGCTTGGACAGTCGACATTGCAAGCAGCTGTCTCGGTTAGTCCAGAGCGAAGCAGCTGCAGAATGCATGTGCCATGAAGCGTTTAAGTACCGGTGTCGTGCATTTCCGTGCCGCGAGCTCAGTGTCAGAACCATGGCTCGGTGCTTGCCCCTTATTCTACTTCTATCTACTTCTACATGTTGCTTCGTAGACTTGTGCCTCGGGGCGAACGGCTGCGGTGAAAGCGGTTCCAGGTATGGAGAAGCATCTGCAGTGGCACTCCGGCGATTGCCAGAAGAGCCAAAGTTCTGCGTGGCGAAGGCACGATCTCGTGTCCCAGCTTGAAATCTTACAGTCTTACAGCATCTTGTCTGTGCGGACTTCCAGAACTAGTGGAAGCAGAGATGCTACGGTCGGCCAAGGATGGTTGCCAAAGCACTAGCAATGCAGAAGCAGGGGAAGGACATCATCCGCATGGAGGTCCAGAGAACGCATAATTTTTTGTAATCTTGTTACCTTCTTGCATCGCGGCGGGTTGGAGGTAGGTGATCCAGACTTCAGCACTCCAGACCACATCACGGTCCGAAACCCAGCTCTAGGTCTGGGCCTGGGAGCCTGCCTTCAAGTCAAACCGTGCCATCTCAGCAGGTGTCGGCCGGGCTTCCTGTAGCAGATGCACCCTGCAGCCGTTTGCTTATCCTAGCCACAGCATGTAGTGACACTGGCAACCAAAAAAGCCAGGCCAAAGAGCGAGCGACTCGGGGCTCCGCGGGCCATGCCGCGCCGCGCGGAGTTCCTCGCGTGCCAATGGGATCACCCAAACCACCCCGAGCAGGCGCTGCCTTGGAGATCCAGGAGGCCTCTGCCTTTGCAGCAGAGCGCCTTCCTTGACACGGAACATCCGTCAAGCAGGGATCTTCAGATCGGAGTCTGCGACGGAGTCTTGGGGGACAGGAATATCCATGTCACCATCAGTCCGGACAACAAGCGCTCCTTGATTCTGGATGGGAAGAATACTGATGGCTTTGTACAATCCGAAGTTCGATGCAAAGGCCGGGTACCCCTGCTACTTGGCAGCTGTGATGACCGCACCCTGCGGCACAAGTGGCGGTGCGATGAGTTAGATTTTCACAAAACGCTGCACGGGGAGGCGTTCCCATATGTTGCTGCCATCATCCGTAAGATCACTGGGCGATGTCACGCTAAAAAGCCTGTGGAGCTTCTTATGCTCGGTCTGGGAGGGGGCACGATGCAAAGCTATATCTCTCACGAGTGCGGAGACGACGCCAAGATTCTTACGATCGAGGCTTCTCGAGGAGTCGTGGAGGCTGCCCGTCGTTTTTTCGGCTTTAAAGGCCGAGCAGAGGTTGCCGGTGCTCAGGAAGCACTTCGCGATTTGGTTAAGCAAAACCGGCACTTTGATGTGATCGTTGTTGACATCACGGACACCGTTCTCGGAAGAGAGGACGTGGAGAACTTGCGTCTCTTACTGCAAAAGGATGGTCTGGTATTGCAGAATCACACCAACTTCCTGAAGATGTCTGAGCAGCTGGATGCTTTTCGAGAGGTCTTCAGCAGTGTTGAAGAGGAGACCTTCCCGGGCGGCAATGTAGTGGTGACAAGCAGCAATGCCGCTTCCGACAATCAGACCCTGAGGCAGTGATGCCTGAACGATGGACTTGCGACAGAGACGAGTTTCCGGATGATGTGCCCCGCCGTCCGCTGTCCCGCCTCAACAGGCCTGACTTCGCGCCAAATGGGTGTAAGTGAGGTTCGGGTCCTTCGGCATCCTCGCGGCTGAATTGTGATGACTGGAGGTACTTTCACTGGTTTGGTTACGAGCAGCTGTAGAATCGAGGTGGTACGCAGAGGAAATCGCGGCATGAGGCTTCAGGGTGTCTGTTTGGGATTGAGGGTCTTGGGGGTATGTTTTTGCAATTCTTACCTGTGCAAGGTGAAGGGTGCGAATCCTGGGCCATTTGGGATCTCTGGGTTCGACGTGTCATAGCATATATCCGAGAGCTGACTCAAAGAGGGTCGGTCCTGTGTCGCATGCCGCAGATCAGTGCTAAGGCGAGTGCTGTGGAAGCCTTGCATGCAGGGCGAACGCATTACGAGGCCGCCCTGAGCAGTTTCGTCTCTACGGAAGGGAAGCCAAAAAGCACCCTCGTTCCAGGGAGCTGGAGGATCTCCGTCCTTGCGTCGAGCGGTTGCCACTTATCTGGAACGAACGAGGCCTGTGCAAAACGTTCCACTTTTTTTGGACTGCGTGCGTGAGTCGTCTGGGTTTTTCTGTCGACTGGGGTCGAAAGGCCTGGCTTAGAAGCGGACCCTGACAAGGCGCAAGTAGCGCGCAAGTCTTGGGGGCGTCACGGCAGTGCTTTGCGCCTGCATCCTCATGCTCTAAGCAGGTGCTCTGTATGCCCGGCGGAAAGCCTGTGATCTTCCACACGATCGCGGCAGTGTGCGAGGAAAGAGCAGTGGAGGCCTCTTCTGATCAGCTTTCGCAACAGCATCTGCGGTGCACAGGAAGGGGACGAGGTGGGGTCGATTTGCCTTGTCAGCGCACGTCAGAAGGCTCGTCATGGCAATTCTGACAAGTCTCAGTGCCACAGAAGGTGATTTATCCAGATCCTGGATTTCCGGCTTATGAAACCACCATCGAGTGGAGCGGGGCTACGCCCGTGCCCCTTCGGCTTGAAGAAGCCTCGGGTTTCCGTTTCCGCCACGTGTGGAGCCCAGTGATGTGAGGGTCGGAAATTCCTCAAATTTTCAGTCTGGCATCCACAAGGAGGAGCTTCGCAGGCTCGCATCCCCGCGTCGAGCGCCGAGATCGAACATAGCACTGACCAGCTGACGCGTTACCACCGAACGAGGCACCAAGCTGATCATCTTGTGCTCGCCTGGCAATCCAACGGGTGGGGTGAGCTGGGCTTGTATTTTGAGAATGTTACTTTGCATCGACTTGTTGCTGGAGTAGCTCGCTCCTTGGGACGAAGGTGCTCACCCGAGAAGACCTCGATTGTGCAGCAGAGATTGCAAAGGCTTGCAACTGCTGGATATTGAGCGACGAGATCTATGCGAGGCGCTGTGGCTGCTGCGAAGGCTCACGTTTTGTGAGCTTGCACAGACTTCACCAGGCTTGTCTTCGATGGTCAGCCTGACAGCATCGCCCTGCGCAAGGTGACCCCTTAGCGTTGCTTGTTTGAAAGCTCCTGTTCCATCTGTTGCTCTCCACTTCAACGAATTGAAGGGTCGGAGCGAAGAGACCCGCAGAGGACATGCTGGAACGCACAGTGATCTTGGATGGCTGCAGCAAGTCCTTCGCCGGGACTTCAGCTTTGCAGCTTTGCTTGCTTCTTGGAATTCTGTCTGCAGCTGCAGAGGCCATGACTGGCTGGCGCCTGGGCTTCGGCTTGTTTCCTGCAGAGCTGGTTGAGCCCGCGCGGAACCTCGCAATCAACAGCTGGACCTGCAACAGTCTCAGATCCAGGTGCCTTCAGAATTATGTTTTGTAGGCACGTTTTCTGAGGTGTTCCCCCGTTTATCGCAGCTGGTGCAGAAACTGCTTTGGCCACGCCGGAGGTGGGCGGTCCCGGTGTTCCCGCAACAGATGGCAATTCGTTTTTTTCTCGCAGGGCTCTTTCGTTGAAGCAACTTTCTGTTATCCTGTTTGATCTGCCCACAGGAAGTGATGGCCCCGATGCGCCTGGAGTACGCAGCCAGGCTTCTGCACAGTGTTTAATGGGGAAGGGGGGGTTTGCCGACGAGATGCATGCAGGCGAGATCTGGTTTACGAGAAGCTTCTGGAAATTCCTGGCATCTCTGTAGCTGTGCGTCCAGCAGGAGCAATGTGTTCCTGCCCTGCTTTACTCATCTGTGCCTGCTCGTGGGTACCGCTTGTCCACACAAGGCCGCATAGCATCCGCCGAGTTGTTGTGCAGAGACCGCCATGCATTGGAAGCAGCAGAGATTTCATGCCAGGTACCTCCTTGCGAACGTGACTGGAACTGGACTGAGCTCCGCGAAGTTTGCGGACAGCTTGCTCGAGGACCTTGCTGGAGGTTCTGACACTCCAAGTCAAGCATGAGATAGTTCCACGCATTGCTGAGGAGTATGGGGTCGCAGTCCTCGACGGAAGCTTCTTTGGGGCTGGTGGCGATGGCTTGATCAGGCCAGCAGGCTTGTGTGCTCTCACTTATGCTGGGCTTCTCCTGCGGACAAGGATATCCTTTGCACAGTCTCGCGAACGGCTTGCAGAAGGATGTGCCATGAGCTTAGAAGTTTGTGGCATTGGCAGCGTCTTGCATGCAGCCATCCATTAGTGGGTGCGAAGCGACTCCCTTCAGGAGCGCATCAAGAAGTTTGTGGCCAGTTTGAAGCCTTAGAGAGCCTGCTACAATGGCTCGAAGAGGCCTCATCTCTCCATAAGGTGCTACAACAGCACTGTACAGAACAAAGAATTCTGTGTAGAGAGCGCTTGATTGCTTGCTGATTTACCGAAAAAGAAAGTGCATCGCTAATGACATTAAGATTAAATGCCGCGGGACGGATGCACCTGGCTTTGTTCTTTTCGGCGCCCTTTGCTGCATGCAGTGGCCAGGCACTTGCCGAGCAAGAGAAGAAGTTCCAAGCATGTGCAGCTGCAGCCCCAGATTGGACATTGAGTGCTCAGCCGCCCAATATACTCCGATGCTGCCGTACTATAGTATGTTGTAGTGTATTGTACTTTTATAGTACATGCTTTGTATCGGATCGGCATTTGTGTTCCACGATACGTAGGTCTTGTTTCCTAGCTGATTTCCCCGGCCTAGCACCCTAAAGAATCCTTTGCAGTGAGAAACGCATATCCTAAGTGCTAAAGCTGAGATCTGAAACGACCTTGCAAATATCGAAGCAAAGAAGTCGATGGCTGTGGCACAAAATCTTGAAGAAAGCCGAGAGAAGTCTAAACAAACCTTCCTGCCTGATGCCCGATTGTCTGCTGCTTCGGATTTGTCTGGGAGCTGTGTGGCACTGCGTGCAACAGACAGGCCGCAGCTGCGGGCAATTTCGCCTAATAGGATATTAGGATATCCCATGTGCACTTCATCACAGCATCATGGCCTCTCTGCCGCTTGTGTGTGGGTGGCTCCGCAACGACCTGCGCACTCACGATTCTGCTGTTCTTCCGCTGCAAGCATCGTTTGGACGAGGCGTCTGCATGTCGGGGTGACCGAACTAGAGTTCGTTTACCGGGGTGGTTGGTGGTGCAGCTAATGTCATGTTCTGTCGGCAGTGGAGATTTCATCTCAGGTTATCCATCGGGTAGCGGAGATATCTCAACAGCCGCCTTTTTGCAATAACAGAAATTTGGATGGCAGTACCACTTTTTCAACTTTGATTCACCAGTCCGCCTGCCTCTTCAACTGAGGTCAGGTTTACCGACTCTTCTGATTTATGTCTTAGACACACGGAGCTTGACATGGCCTTCCGGTGCTGAGAGACTGGGACCTTTGCGGGCTCGCTTTCTCTTCGAGTCCCTGCAGGACCTGAAGGCGAGGTTACGCAGCTTGGGCTCCGACCTGCTTCTCCGGAGCGGGATTCCCGAGGATCTCCTGCCCGAGCTCCTTCCCGAGGGCTCCGTCCTAGTCACACAGGAGGAGGTCACTGCGGAAGAAAAAGCGGTGGATCAGCGCCTGCGCGATCGTTTGGAGGCTATGAAAGTGGACATGCAGTATTGTTGGGGCTCTACGCTCCTTCACCTGGAGGACTTGCCCTTCGAGAAGGATCTGTCGAACCTCCCTGATGTCTTTACTCTTTTCAAGAATGCTGTGGCTCCGGAGCTCAAATGTGCCTGCAACGCCATTCCACAGGCGTATTGCGACCTGCCGAAGCCGACGACGAGCTTATTGATTCGGTCGTGCTTGCCAGATCTCAAGCCTGGATCTTTGCCCCCCTCCGAATTGTTTTTGGAGGACTCTAAGAATCAGTTGGCATGGAAGGACATGAATTTTCCATCACAGTGTTGGGGTGCCGATGTGCCCACGTCCCTGTTTGAGGGTGGTGAGAAAGCCGGCCTGCACCGTCTGGAGCACTATTGTTTGGGGCCGCTGGCTACTTATGCCGAAACAAAAAACAACATGCTGGAGTTCGATGCTTCAACCAAACTCTCCCCTTGGCTTGCAAACGGCTGCCTTTCGCCCAGGCGAATTTTTGAAGCGTTACAAAGGCAGGAGCTCCAGGCTGCTAGTGCTTCCACATATTGGCTGTTGTTTGCGCTTCTCGTCCGTGATTTCTTTCGTTTCATGGCCATGAAGTATGGAAACCGCATTTTTAAAGCAACCGGTGTAATTGGCAAGAGTCTTGACTGGTCTGGTGGAGATGAGGAGTTCGCTATGTGGTGCACTGGAAGCACTGGATACCCACTGGTGGATGCCAACATGAGAGAATTAGAACAGACTGGATGGATGTCCAACAGAGGAAGACAAAACGTGGCGTCCTTCCTCATTTGGGACCTGAAGGTTGATTGGAGACGTGGTGCAAGATGGTTTGAAACACGCTTGATCGACTACGACGTGACTTCCAACTGGTGTAACTGGATTTCCGCGGCTGGCTTGTCTGGTGGCCGCATCAACAGGTTCAACGTGGTCAAGCAATCTCATCAGTACGATCCCAGCGGTGACTACTTGCGCAAGTGGCTTCCGGAACTGCGTTCATTGACGGAAGAGATCCACGAACCCTGGAAGCTCCGGCAGGCTCTTCACAGCTATCCGGCCCCTTGTGTTGACCCCTCGAACTTTGCAGCCGCTAAGCCGGCTAAGTCACAGCAAAAGGGTGTGTCTGCTGCTTTGCATGGGCCGTGTACGTGCTTACTCATGGCTGTGGCAGTGTGCTCTCAAGCGATGCTATGAGGCTTTGGCGCAAGCGCGGAAGCTAAAGAGCAGCATCCTCACGCAGTCAGACTTGTTGCCCTCATGGAATGCTACAGATCTAGTCGACAGCGAGCTGCTTCGAAGGTCTGCATCACATCAAGGAAGCTCTTGAAAAAGCACAGGAAGTGGCTTGTCCCAGTCAGCGCTGCAGGCGTGTTACTTGAGATGGTTTGTTGATGCCAGGGGGGCTTGTTTCGTCACACGTCTTCTTTCTGGGCGAAATTCAGAAAAGAAGGAATCACAAAACTCTGAGAAAACGAGCAGTTCAAGCATCTGCAGATTTCAGCAGTAGCAAGCATATGCGTGGAACTCCTCCAGCAGAGCTTCGAATTCGCCGCTGCCAGGACTGTCGTACAGAAAGAACGGCACGGAGCTTTAGGATTTAAGCTTGAAGTTGTGGACGGTTGTTAAGGATCAGGTTCCAACAGCGCAAACAGCGCAGCAAGGCGCTTAACGAGAGGCGGAGAAACCGAGAATGGCACGGCAGAGGTGCCTGCTCATCCTGTCTGCTTTGCAAGGTAAGGCTCAGTCAGTGAGCAGGGACCGGAGCGATGTCTGAGAGCCATTCTCAGAGGGTCTCGCCGGGGAAACTGGAAAAGACGACCAGCCACTTCTCGTGGTCTATGAAGAGGACAGCAAACTTCTTCTCATGCTCGTTATTCAATCTGTGAAAGCGGAAGCGCCGAAAGTACGGAGGTGATAAAATAACTGTTTATACAAAATCTCAGACTGAAGGCACGCGCAAATGCATTCGCAAATGGTTACACGTCACGGTAGAAAACACGGCCCAGATGCACATTTGGCTAATGTAAGGCTGGCCTCTCGCACATGGAAATGAAGCAGACCATCGATGCCGGGGGCCAAGTTCTTCGCGCCGCAAGCTTCAGCCGGCTCCTGCCGTCCCACACGCGCGCAAAGACGCGTGGAAGGCACAGAAGGACATCAAGAAACAGGACGAGGACCATGTGCAAAAGTGACTGCTTGACACTCTGACGTCTTTTGAACCGTGGCCGCTGTTCAGGCTGCAGAGAAGCTAGAAGATGCCGTCGATTCTCGGGATGCCGGCCTGTCGATTTTGAGGGCTCGCAAAACGGCTTGACCCAGAAAGTGAAACTCCAATGAGCCAGGCTGAGAAGCTTCGATGGGCCATCAAATGGGCCAAGGCTGGTCAGCATCGAATGCTCTGAGCTTCCTGCTGGTCATCTACAATCCAGGATGCTCGAGTGGATGAAGACGACATAGCGGACGCCGAGGAGGCGCAGTTGCACCGCTGAGCTGCGCAATCGCTTGGCATGCTTGCTGAGGTCTTGCAAGAATTGGAGCAGAGGGAAACTGCGCTCGCGAAGCTGAGAGCGGCATCTTGTGAGCAATAGGCTTGAGCAATTAATTGGGTTGGCAATCAAGGGCAGGTTTTAGGACCTTTTGGATCTAGTGTTTTAAGCCTAAAAATGTTTGGGGGAGTAGGGTTTTCGGATGTTAGGGTTTAGGGTACGGGGTCTAGGGTATGTAAGGTTTGGCGGGGGGTTTGGGGCTCGAGGATGTTTAGGGTTTAGTGTGTACATGTGCAGGATTTGGGGGATTTTGAGGTTTAGTGTTGAATGTTTAGGATTTAGGGGTGGGGAGGGTTAAGGGTTCGGGGACTTTTGCGTCTAGTGTTTTAGTCCTAAAATGTTTGGGGGAGGGTGGTAGGGTTCTCGGATGTTAGGGTTTAGGGTATGGGGTCTAGGGTACATAAGGTTTAGGGGAGGGTTTGGGGCTCGAGGATGTTTAGGGTTTAGTGCGTACATGTGCAGGATTTGGGGTCCAGCGATTTACTGTTCCGGAGGGGTTCGTGGATTTTGAGGTTTAGCCGTGAATGTTTAGGATTTAGGGGTGGGGAGGGTTAAGGGCTCGGAGATTTTTTTGGATCTAGTGTTTTTATCCAAAAAATGGGAGATAAGGTTGAGGGGGGTTTGGGAATGGAAGATGTTTAGGGTTTAGTGTGTACATGTGCAGGATTTGGGGGATTTTGAGGTTTAGTCTTGAATGTTTAGGGTTTAGGGTTGGGGAGGGTTAAGGGTTCGGGATTTTTGGGTCTAGTGTTTTAGTCCTAAAACTGTTTTGGGGACGGTGTAGGGTTCTCGGATGTTAGGGTTTAGGGTATGGGGTCTAGGGCACATAAGGTTTAGGGGGGGTTTTGGGAATGGAAGATGTTTAGGGTTTAGTGTGTACATGTGCGGGATTTGGAGGATTTTGAGGTTCAGTCTTGAATGTTCAGGATTTAGGGGTGGGGAGGGTTAAGGGTTCGGGGATTTTGGATCTAGTGTTTTAATCCTAAAAATGTTTGGGGGAGGGTGTAGGGTTCTCGGATGTTAGGGTTTATGGAGGTTTGGGGCTGGAGGATGTTTAGGGTTTAGTGTGTGCATTTGCAGGATTGGGGGATTTGTTTAGGATTTAGGGGTGGGGAGGGTTAAGGGTTCGGGGATCTTTGGAAATTTAATCCAAAAAATGTTTGGGTAGGGTGGTAGGGTTCTCGGATGTTAGGGTAGGGTATGGGGTCTAGGGTGCATAAGGTTTCGCAAAGGATTGGGGCTCGAGGATGTTTAGGGCTTAGTGTGTACATGTGCAGGATTTGCGGTCTTGTGATTTACGGTTCAGGGAGGGTTCGTGGATTTTGATCTTAGTCTTGAAATACTGAGGATTTAGGGGTAGGGGTTAAGGGTTCGGGGATTTTGGATAATTGGTTTAGATGTAAATGAGTTCAGGGTTTAATGTTTTGGATTCTTGGATTTTAGGATCTAGCGTTTAGTGTCTAGGGCTTGAAGCTTAGGGAGTGTTAAGGGTTCCGGGATTCTAGGCCTAGAGACGAATTGAGTAGGACGTAAGGTTTAGGGAGGGTTTAGGCTGGCTGGCGTAGTCTCGAAATGTTTAGGACATAGGGGTAAGGAGGAGGATTGGTTAAGGGTTCGGGGATCTTCTGTGAATCTAGGGTCAAAATAGTTCGGATTCAATGTTTCCGGAGGGTGTAGGGTTCTCTAAGTAAGGGACATTCAGGACTTGAAGTTTAGGGAGGGTCAGGGGTTCGGGAATTCTAGGGCCTAGAGACAATTTGTGTGGGACGTTAGGTTCATACAGGGTTTAGGTTCGCGGATTTTTGGGGCTTAGCGGCTTAGCGTATACATGTTCAGGATGTAGTATAGAGGGCATGTGAAGGTTTGGGGGAGGGTTTAGGTTTAGTGTTTAATTGTTTAGGACCCAGACGCAGGGGAATTTTAGGGCTAAGTGTTTAACTGCGGGGACGGTGCAGGGTTCGGGCATTTCAGGGTCATGGTGAAAAGGTCTACGGTTCAGGGATGGTTCAGTTCAGTTTAGTGTATAAATCTCTAGGACTTCGGTTTTAGCGAGGGTTGAGGGTTCGCGGATTTTCAGGCTTAGTGTTTAAATGATGAGGCTTTAGAGTCTGGGGAGGATTTCCGGATTTTAGGTTTTTTTATGTTGAAGTTGTTTTGGCTTTAGGGTGGGTTTGTGGTTTGGGGTTTGTGGTTTGGGTGTGTGAGTGACTGAGTGTGTAGGCGGAATGTCCGAGAGTCTGTTTTTTTCTGAAGATGCATATCTGTTTTTGGGTATGTATACATACATACATATACATACGCATGTTATACACATACACATCTGCGCACACCCGTCCGGGCTTGACAGTCGGCCAGATCCGGCCATGAATGAAGTGTAGTGTCGCCGGGCTGGGCGGAATTCAGGGACAGGGAAGGCTTGTGGTCGGTCAGACATCCCCAAGTTCTGGAGATTTGTCGCGCAGAACTCAAATTTTGTCGTTGGGTGTGGAGCACATGTAGTTTTGTCGGATTAATTGTCACCTTCGCCTGCTGCCAAGACGCTGGTAACAGATCTTACAAGCCGTACGCCTTCTGGTCAAGATCCCCATCTTCGGCATACTAGTCATTAGTCTCATATTTCGAGCGACGAGTGCATGCGTGCTCTTGCTGCTCGCCTAGGCAGAGGAATCCAGAAACATAGAGGAACTGGTGGAGGTGGGTTTGAGGGTCTGAGATCGTTTGAGAGGGTACAAGAGGATACGAAACAGAGTTTCTGTTTTGCTCAGAACGGAGCAGCTGTTTGTCTCCCTTGTGTCAGGCCCTCAAATTTGCACAGGATTTGGAGGAGGCGGGGCGCAAGCAATTTGGTGCTGGAGACTCAAAGCTGTAGAAAGCCTGTGACAGGACGAGCTGGAACCGTATGAGGAGGTAGCTCTTTCGTTGGTGCTCCTATGCTTGTAGTGTGGCAAGCATGTCGCAGCGCACAGTCCTCTGGGCAACCTTTTACCTCCGTGACCTCAGGAAACGAGCGCATCCTCAAATCTACTATTGCTTCAGGCCCTCCTGGAGGAGCGCCAGAAACAAGCACGAGCTGAACTGGCGAAGGCTTTCTGCAAACCCGTCAAGCCAGTCAGCTACGCTAAAGACCGTCCAGTACACCGGGAAGGCAATTGAGCAGAGGGACATAGCAGCAGCGGGCTCAAGCTTTTGCTCGATGCAGGTGTTGTTCAGCTTAATGCCCGAAGACTTGGTTCAGCTGCATCTATCACGGTTACCAAGGCTTTGAAAGAAGCTTTGAGGTTGGCAGAGCAGGATTCTCAGAAAGTTCGGCAAGCACCAGATAGATCGAGCTGCGAAACTCTTGTGGCAGCACATCGAGACACGCTTCTCCGCTCGAACTGAGTGTGTTTCATGGGCTGTTTCAAAGGCCGAACGTTCCACGTCCGTCCGTCATGCCACCCATGGTATCGCATGTGTCGCATTGAGTCCTTCCC